CGGTTCTGATGTGCTGAGTTCCTGCAGCCATGTGTCAACAAGATTGATTGAGCATCGAAGGGAGTCCATGTCCAAAGTGTGAAGAACGTCCATCTCATGCAGTTGAACAAGTCTTGCCTCGTGTCGGTGTAGTTGAGAGGCCATCCGCCCCCGCAGCACAGCAACCGGGTGTTGCAGGTGGTGCTCAAGAAAAAAGGCATGATGTGACTTGTGAGTCTGAAATGAGTGATCTCCTGCTGCTTGTCTCAGCATCGTGGTCATGGCCTTGGAGAAAATGGGAATACTGGTGCTGTCAGTACCTGTTGCATCAAGTCCATAGATCCCTATAGGAAGAATGCATGTTTGCCAAAGAGCCACCTTCTGTGCCGCGTGCATGGAGTTCTTGGAAAACCAACGATGCATTTGTTTGAATCGAAGTTTGCTTGCTTGAAGTCTGGCCTTCATCGTATCACGCTGAAAATTAAAATATCCCATCTGAATACCAAGATGTTCGTGCTTCTCTTTGATTGGAATTTCATGAAATGTGTCATCATCTTTTGGAATGCGGAGCGCTTGATGATCCAGCTTCCTTTTCACATACAGCTTCCGCGCTTGTTGGTGTTTTGTGCCACCCCAGCGGACGACAACTGCAGACTTGTGCATATTCACGGTCATGCCCAGCTGTTCCAGAATGGTGATCAGCTTCCCAAAACAAACCAACCCAAAGTGAAGTTCGTCAAAATCATGAAATATAAAGCAGGCATGCCCGTCATCGGCATAAAAGGTGCAGCATTCCCTCATCCAATTGGTAGAGGTCTCCGCCGCCACACGTTCAAGTGCCAGTGCTATGAAGCATGCCCAAAAGAAGGGAGCACCTCTGCAGCCTTGTCTCACACCTCTATGAGTGGGTTGAACGGCAGAGAGTCCTTTCCATTGAACAATGTAGGAAGTTTCTGTGTGCCAACACAACAGAAGAGCTGAGAGATCTTGGGGAAGACCAAGGAGGTTAAAGGCCTCTTGCAGGTGTTCTCTGGGCATTGCATCAAAGGCGCCCGTCATGTCAAGAAAAAGTTGACATCCGCCAAAGACCGGAGGTTTTTTCTCCCCAGGTGCCTGTACTTTGCCAGCCTCATATCGCCATTTGTGATGAAGTGCTTGTACTGCCCTGGCATGAGCTTGGACACGGGAGATGGCTTCCCAAGTGCCTCTCCCAGGCAAATAGGCAAATTGCGGAAACCATGTGAGAGCACGAAGAGTATGTTTTTTGGCCTCGTGAACAAACATGGACATGATGGTCTTCGAAAGAGGTGTTTGCAAGGCAATGGGTCGCAGAGCTTTAGGTTCAATGACCTTCTTGTTGGGCTTGGGAAGGAGAACTACCCATCCTGTCCGCCATTCCCGGGGGATGTGGCCTGCAGCCAGCCATTGGGATAGCCAGGAGTAGAGCAAGCTGCCCAGTTCCTCAGCCATGGATTTGAAGCTGGGCGCCACGTGCGCAGGGACACTGGTGTGTCCATACAAGGAGCGCAGTGAGTGTGTGATGTCACCTGGTCCAAAAGGCAGTGCATGAAGGTGAAAGTTGACTCCTGGCAGGTCAGTCCCCGCATAAACCCCTTCCATGTAGTCAAGAATCCACCTCAGTTCGTCTTCAGGGGACATGAGCATACCCTCATGATTTCGAAGTTGAGGACGTGGGGGTCGATGTTTGGGCGTCAGGGAGTTGACCACCTTGAAGTAGCGTCGGGTGTCGTTGGTGGACCAGTGGTGCCTGGCGGTATCAATGGTGTCCTGAAGTTTCAGTTTTTTCGCTTCCCTGGCCGATTTGGTGGCCGCCCTCCGCCATCTTTGAATCCGAGTCACTCGAAGCCAAGAGCCAAAGATTTGCTCCTGCCTGGATGAGTGGTGAGCCCGCTGAGCGACTTCAGGAAGATGTAGCCGGGATAGTGTAGAGGCCCAGGACCAATAGTTGGTGGTTGAAGGTTTGTCAGACCGCCCAGAAGGCTGGAAAGAAACACACGCATCCATCAGGACCTGGTTGAGAGCCTCCAGATTTGGTGTTTGATCCCGAAGATTGTCAATCCGGTTGCCAAGGTCCTGACACCAGTGGTGCCAATCCATACTCTGAAGGTGCCAGTGCCGTTGAAGAAGATCTTGTTGGATCCTGTTCAGGCCCGAGGGAGGTGGCTTCCACCCCCGCCATTTGTAGGGAAGATTGAACAGAATCGGCACATGATCCTTTATGTGACCAAACTTGCCTGGGAGGTGTTCCAGGTAGATAGGTTTCTTCGTGATGGAGTCACTGGTTTTGTGTCGGACCATGACATAGTCAATCCGAGATAGATGCCCCAGGCCGCCCCGATAGGTGGGACCAAGCGAGGTGTCCCAGGTGTTGATGGCCAGGAGCCCCCGCCTGGGTAGAATGTCAGCCAAGAGATGTGCATCCTGGTGTTGAGTGCCAGAAAGTCGCCCTCGTCGGCCTTGGAAGTCATGTAGTCCGACACAGTGCGGGGTCCGAGGCAAGCTGCTATTGAAGTCACCGGCTAGGATGGCCACATTCCGTTGAGGAAGACCTGCCAATAGGCCATCCAAGGCGCCCAGAAGTCCGGAGCGTTTGTCCCTGCATTGCTGGTCAGATCCAGTCCATGGATGCTGGTAGAAGTTGACCAGGTCAAGGCCCGTGGATTCAAGGTAGAGCCGGGCATGCAGAAGCCGCCCTGGAGTAACCTCCCTCCAGGAGAGCCGATCTGGAGGGCAGAAGGCCTTCCGGATGATGGTCAGAAGCCCTCCTGCTCGATCTTGAGATCCACTGTGGATATAGGCAAAGGTGTTGTCAGTCCAATCACCTGTGAAGCCCCACCGTGTGTCTTGAAGTTGAATTAGATCAAGTTGCTGTTGATGCAGCCATTGCCGGAGGATGTCAAATTTGTAGGTGCCCAGGGAGCCGATGTTCCAGCTGAGTCCTTGAAGCCTGTTCTTCCGTAGTTTGGCAGGTGGTGAGGAGTTGGGTGGTCCCAAGGAAGTCTTTGGAGTTTCAGTGACCTGCCAGGGAAGTGGAGTGACTCCAAGCATCTGGGCCGTATAGAGCTTCCCTTTGTACCATGTGTGCCCGTGAAGTTGGGCCCGCTTGAGTGCACGAATGTAGGATTTCTTCTTGGGAAAGTGCTGGCAATTGTCCAGACGTTGGTGTGTGGATCCAAGGCCACTTGGCTTTGCCGTGTTGGTTTGCTGAATGGCAAAGGTCTTGTTGGCTTCACCGGACCATGTGGCAGGTCCGGAACCCTCGGGCCACCAGGGCATGGCGTTGGCATTGAGCTTTGTCTTGTAGTCCTCGAGGAAGAGCCCAAAGAGGCTGCCGAGGAGGAGGAGGTGTATGCCAGCCCTGGCTGGGGACTTGGGACCCCAGCTAGCTTCTGTCGAAGGTGCAAGGACCTGGGATGCGGTTCTCTTCCTCCAGAATCGATGTCCTCTCAAGGTAGGCGTGTTCTGGTAGTTCTCAAACCCCTGGAGGAGAAAGAAGGAAGTTGCCAGGAGGAAGGAGACCGCAAGCAAGATGACCGTGCCCTTCCCTGGAGCAGCCTCAAAGTGATGTTCTTGGAGAAGTCCTGCAGGAAGCCGGGCGTAGTGCCGGTAGAAGAGGATCTCCAGAATCCCGGTGAGCAGGAAAGCCAGGCTGACCATGAACGAAAGGGGGGGTCCTCACTAGCCCGTTCCTGTTGAAGGAATAGGGCCTGATAGCTAGTGGCCCTTATCATCATCATCATCATCATCACCATCATCATCATCATCATCATCATCTATATCATCATCTATCTCTGTATTCTGTGCATCTCAAGTCACTGTGCTCCATCGAATGGTCCCAGTTGGAATGACATTGTCAGGGCCTGAAGTCCCACTGTACTCCTCCCCATTCACCTCCAAAAGATCATAGCCTGCTTCTGTCTTGAAGGCAGCAACTACAATCGACTTTGCATTGCCCTCGGCCACGTCGATTTCACAGTTCTGGTTGTTTCGGTAGTTCGAAGGATAGCGAGGACTGTGGAGACATCCTTCGTCATCAACTTGACAATTCCTTGGGCGCTACTGTCTGGGCTTGGCCACCTTGAAGAAAAATGAGGCATCATGCTGAATAAAACATTACTGCTGCCGCGGTTGGTCGCACAATCTGCCCTTAACCCGCCACACAACACGACGTAGATTCAAGAGTTTGGAATGCAATTGAATAAAGCGGTTTGGACAGGATAACAAAACCACAACACCTGCGACCGCACAAAACCCATATCAACCACTCCACAACAATCACCTTTTTTCCTGGACAACTGAACTGTCAAGATGTCCAACAAGCGGCGCTTGTGTTCCACAAGGCCTGACAAGCGAGCGAACCAGGGCTACAACACATTACGCTAAAGCCCAAGTTGCCCATCTGTCACGCTCCAATCAGCACCAGACGTTGAGCCAACGAGAATGAAAACCCATAGCAGCTGTAGCATAGCGGTTCGTGGTGCAACGCGCGCAAGTTTGGGGGTTGGCCAGGCGAATCTCTGCAGTTGAGCTCCGATTGTGATAACTCAATACCACGCCAATTGCATGCCAACTTCTTGAGAGAAGCCTTCTGATAGCGGATCCGTTTTCGACTGCTGTCCTTTACGATGCCCATGTCAGCGTTGCACTTGTCTAACAACACCTAATTTGCGCTGGATGTTTGCATGCTGTCCACTTGTACGAAGCTGGAGCAAGCAATAATGGAGCTATATACAATCAAGTAAACCAGGGAAAGTCCCTGCGGGTAAGTGTTTGGATTAAAGGCCCCTTCGAGGATAACAATGCAAACGTTCAACGGGGATCTGGCAAATGAGATGAGACCGGATCCCATGACGGACACAGGTCGTACTGGTTGTGGTGACTTGAAATGAAGATTGATGCATAGGTTTGCATTTCACGTTAAACTATGCTTAACAAAAGAACTGCCAAGGTGGGGGCACAGCAACGATTGATTCACCTCTGCGAAGGCAAAGCGTGCCAACTTTTGACTTCGGCCACACGTTGGGCAAGCTCTAAACATCCTATGGCCTCAAAGCCTTGCCTTCGGCTTTGTCTTCAAAAGCGATACATCAATCAAGGAGTACTTGCCAGCTTTGCCAAAGGAACCGGTCATGTCAGGATAGTCCACATATCCATCCTCCTTACACGGTACGCGTTCACAAAGCATCACGAAGCCATCTCTGCAAGGCGGTTGACAAAGCCGGACTCAGAACAGAGAAACGCTTCTTAGGGGAGCTGTGGACTTGAAAGAGAAGAAACGCTTCCCATGATTTTTTTCAAAAAGTCCTGGCCCAGTCAGTCAGCAGTTTGAATAACAATCTGCTGTGAATGGGAACTGTCTGCATATTATGATATTCATGCATGTAAATGTAATGAAACTCATGAGTCTGACGAATGAGCCTCGTGGGTGTAGAAGCGCTCTCGGCTATAATGATTCAAAGGAGCTCCAACCTGTGGCAGCAGCACCCGCAGCACAAGCAAAACATAGCAAAACCTCGATCCATTGATTACATTTGTGTGTTCATCCGTGCATCTGCGTGTGAGTGCCACACTGAAAGGTCACAGTCTATATATGAAGATCAAGTCATGTGCAAACCAACATCCACATCCATACTACCATGCCCACATCTGAACATCTCTCATAACTGCCGTCCCAGCCTGGATGCGCAGCGGCAAATCTGGGTTCGCTAAGAACCATCGGCCAAACGCTACCAAATCAAAACAGTTGCCCACATGCTCGGAGGCTGTAGAAGGAAGAAAGCCACCTGTTGGGGGATCGAAATTGCGGACACTGCGTCTCACTCCTCGCGAGCCCTTCCTTGAAGGAAAAACGGTTCAAAACCAGCTAGACGACCTCGCACTACGCATCAGCAGACTTGCCGGGGTGAGTCCCACATTCAATCCAGTGATCAAGAGCTTGCACCAACTGCAATCGACATTAATCGACTAAGCGCATACGGCCTGCAGCCATCAAAACACCCTTGTAGATCTTCCTGTACGTCATGGAGTTTGTCACCGGCATATTGAAACCCGGGTCCTGAAAGGTAAGGAGCAACTCCCACTCCGATGACATGTCATGAATAATGGCTCCTTTTCCGCATCATCATCATGGCGGCCCCCAGACCATCGCGGCTCCGTCAACAACAAATAGGCGAGGGGTAGACCATTTAGTCGCTCGATGGCCTAAGTTGTCACCTGTCGTGGCGGCTACAAAGAACACAAAACAATACAAAAACAAAAACCTCAACCCGAAATAAACCAAGCAAGTCATGGCATGTATACAAAGCCATATGAAAGCAAGCGTCGTAGCGATACGTTACATTGCAGCCATCCGCATCCATCTGATTCTCCTCAGAAGTCTCCACTGTCTCCATCGGTGTGATCGAACTTAGTCTTTGATGCCACCTGTGTGGGTAGGAACATACACTCTAAGTATGTAATTCCAAGTGTGTCTTGGGTACAGTGTGACGCGGCCATGAAAATTGAGCCAAGACCAGCCGGAAAGTCATTGATAGGTGACACGATGCTCTTTGTTAGGGAACCCGCTGTTATTTGCAACGAAGCGTCATCGCTGGCTCCGAAGAAATCAAAAGCGCCCGGTTGCGTCGGAGACAAACGCACGGCCACGCGTCCAGGACCCACCTCCTCTGAAACAGCCGCAACAACCTCCAAAAGAAGTCCTCAGAATAGCAGGAAGAATCACCGCAAATAAGTTGCCTGGCTGTTTCACATTTGCAGGCAAATTTCTGCATCGGTTTTCAGGAGTTCCACCATAGCCGTCCTCAGGCGCGCACTCAATCTAAGTTTTGTGACTTTGCAAAACCCAGAGTCTACTGTCAAACCTCCGAGCACTGGTTTTGTGGCAGGCGCAATATTTTGTGGATGTCAAACCGCCCATTTCCGAGGCAGGTGCCACACTTGCACCACTACCACCACACTTCCACCAACACAGGTCTTTGCTTGGCTTTAGCTGCTAGGTTCAAGCTTACAGTTGAAGAGCTAGAGAGGTGGGGACAACCAGAATCGCAACAACTCCTTTCAGAAACCGTCCCCTTCAATGGAACGTTGTATTTTTCCGGCGTGCTAGCACGAACCAGAACTCAAAAAGAAATAACAAAAAGACCAAACAGACTTGCATTGCTGCATAACACAAAATTTGTGTTGGGACACCAGGGCCAGCAAACACAAAACCAAAAGACCGTACGTACCAAGCGACAACAACTGTTTTGATTTCGTGATGCAAAAGGCATGCTTTCGAGCCACGGCTCAGTCCTCTTGTTGGTCCCAGTTCGAAGAAACCTCACGCCACGAATTCACACGACCACAGACCACAGAAACCTCCCAACGTTGACGAGCATTGGTCAGGATGCGGAAACCCGAAGGGTGGGCTATAGCAATTAGCTACTGGCAACCGGGTAGTCTGGTGTGCAATTTTTTGCTGCAATCGGGCCGGGAAGTTTGAATACGTGGTAGGTATGATGTGGTGTATGATTCAGGGGTATGCTTTCGGGGTATCATTCGCACATTTGCAATTGTAGTATTGTTGGATTGGCTGGACTTCCACCACTCGGCCACTTCTGCGCCTAGGCCTAGGCCCCCAAGCCTCACCAAAGACACCACCCTCCAGTGGCCCTCTGCAAGCCCCACGGCAACAACCACTATATTGGGATGGGTGGGAGGCTGTGTGGATGCGCGTGATTCGGGTATGAATCGGGCATTAACGGGTGTGGTTCGTATGGCCACTGAACTCTTCAAAAAAAACCGATCCTTTGGCCTTTCTTCCCAGGGAGAGCTCATGGGAACATTGGCACCCCTGCGACGTGAGCCTTTGCACTTCCCAGAAGAAGGCCAACAATTTTGGCCAAATTGAGTGCCCGTGGATCACAAAATTGCAAACGTCATGCACCATTGGTTCTTGGACATCTACAAGGCACAAAACTCAACCAAAACACACCCTTTTGAGGGGCATGATTCAGGGGTATGATTCGAAGGCATGAATCGCTCAAGTTGAACTTCCCACCACTATGGCATCAGGAAGTACACGCCCAAAAAATACAAACCCAAATAGCGTAAGTAGAAACTACCTAGAACGCAGAAGGGTTAAGGTTTCTTCGAGGAAGCTGGCAGCGACTGAGGGCAGGTTCCTACGTTTGTTGGAAGCTTAAATGGCAACTCCGAAAAACTGGTCCAGTAAGTAGCCATGCGCGCCATGGACTTCCACACCTGCAAACGGTCGAAGGCATCTTGCTGAAAAAACGGAACTGTACATATATAGATATAGAAATGAATGTACAGTATATAAAGATAATGAAAATTTTACCATGTACGGTGCCAGGAGGCACCATCAAAACCAGCTCTCATCGCATTTCGGGCAGCATGCCTGGTGGATCACAGCAGGACAGCAATACAGATGCATCGACCAATCACGGCGGTGTTGGATCACAACATGCTAGCAGCTGCCACGTCATACTGGACATAAAGTGCGAGCTGTTTCCAAGCAGTTTCCATGCCTGTAATCTGACACCACCCTTTCAAGTTCACAGGTCTCAAGCGCTCGTGGGGTGGCATTTAGGTCTTTGCGGCCCTGGCAAACATTGCGGCAGCCTGCTTGAAATTTAAATCATTTCTGCCCCCTATGTTGCGATGTGGCATTCATAATTCACGCCTCTGGGTACACGTTCCAGGTTTTGCCCCGGATAGCTATTGCTGATGCGCTGACTGATGGCATAGGGGCACCAACTGATGCTTTGAGCAGCGGATGCTGCTGCCAGCCTCGTGTGCACGCAACCGTGGTGAGAACACAATCCACAAAACTGAGTTGGGGACTAGGGTGCCCAACACGACCGGTGTGCCACAACCTCAAGTTTTTTACACGAACAGAATTTCCCGTAGCTGCAATGCCCCACAACCGTGGCCCTCGCTGGCAAAAAATGTGTCCTCCTTTGCTGTGCACTTTTTCCTGGATCAGGTACATCCGGCAAAATTTCGACGTCCACAAACGAGCTGCCACAGTCTACCACGTGCTAAGCCAGCTGCTGTGACTTGTCGCCAGGCAAGGACTTGCGCATCTGTCCATATACCGGGGGCCTCATTTTTTCAGAATCAAAAACTGTAAAATGGTGTTGGGGACCCTGGGCCGTGCGCCCGGTGATATGCACAGGACTCTGTGCTGATGTTGGTGGCTTCCGATATCAACAGGCCCCCTTTGGAGGCACGTTGTTCGTAGAACTCCGCACCTTGGATTCCGCGCAGCCACCCCACAGGAATCATAGCACAAGTACTTGCAACATTGCAAGTAAAAACAGGACCCCAGAATTTCCAACGTCGAAGTTTATCTTAGCCAATGAGAAACGTCGAAGTTAAACTTGTACACCTCAGTGCGTCCAAGTTTTACTCATGTTAGTTGTCTTAAACAGAAAAGACTCCGCAGAACGACGAAATTTAACCTGGTTAAACATAGACAGAAACAACGTCGAAGTTAAACTTAGCCTTTGAAGATTAGGGGGGGCCGGTCTTAAAGAACATCGCTCCAAGACACACATCGCTTGCGGCGCCATTTCAACTTCAGAAGCTCTCAGCCGAGTCAATGGAGCAAGCACCACACGGTGTTGCAACGAAACCACGCCGCTGCCCAGCATCAATGGCCTCGAACGGCGCAATGTCCCACACAACGCACACTCAAAAAGAATTTGTCCCTCGCCAAGCTGCTCAAATAGCGGGCTTCGTGCCATGGCCATGACGTGGAGAAAAAGGAAAACGCCCACCAGAAAAGAATGTCCAACTATTTTCAATTAAGTGTCCTATTGGTTTCCCTCGACAACACTTCCGGTGATTGATGCTGTTTGCCAGCGCAACGCGTGGGACATGTTGAACATGACGACGTGGCTGCCTCTTGAAGTGCGACATGCCCGCAGACACGCCAGCAGCCAGCATTTATGCCAATGTCATGGGCCAAAAAAACGTGACACTACCGTCTGGTTTGATAGATTCAACCTTACCAAACACGGTCGTTGTCCCATCGATTCAACCAGCAACACCACGCAAAAGAGAAATTCTCAAATGCCAAACGCACATGGACAAAAAATTCCTTCACTTGAATGTTTTTCTATATAAGTGGTGGTTAGTTATACAAGGATTTGATGATGGAAAGTCCGGTGCCTCAGCGACCGAAAAAGGAAGTTGGCTGAGCAGTGGCAACATCCCCCGGCCAAAAACAAATGTTACCCTGCGGGGATGGAGGCGTGGTAGTCGGCAGAGGACCGCAAGATGCTGCCAAAAAAAATCGTTTTAGTGCAAGCGCCTGCAGGCCGCAACTGGCCTGTTGTTCTTCCCCAGTTCGCCCATCCATTGGCCGAGAACTTGGTGAGATACCCTGCTGCCACCGGCACACCGGCTTCAGAGCAAGAAAGCAACTGCAAACCACAATTCCCCAAAACAACACAAGCCGGGCAAAAGGCATGTCACCACAACACAAAAACAAAACAACCACGCAACACCAGCTCGATTCAAACGTGGGCACTGGGTGGTGGTCGGGCGCACCCCTTGAGAGGGCAACAGGCCATCATGGTGAGAAACCCTCTTTGCTGCGTTTGGCATGTGCAAGTCTGGAAAGCTGTGTTGTAGTGTTGGTTTGATTGGACAACCCGTGGGTTGGTTGCAGGTTTTTTTCGGGGCTCCTTGTCGCCCACCGGTGCTACGCCATTGGGACAAGTGTCGCCCCCAGATGAGCACTGTCTTGGGAGCGACTTCAGCCGGGAGATGTGGCAAAGGGCGGCAGGTTGCAATCAAGGTGCCTCCTGGTCGAACAGACTGGATGCAAACGGGTAGAAAACCAGCACGGCTGACGAGAGCCTGGGCCGGCCCTGCCCAAGAACCTTCACTGGCGAAACGACGTGAAGGCAAATGTGAAAGTGTGGGTTCACTGCGTTTTATTAATGTTTAGGGGTGGGGCGTATGGAATGTGAGAGCAGAAGCGTTTGGTTGGTGCAGCGCACGCCTTGCAAGACTTGAGGCGCTTGTTAGCGTGGGTCGTTTGGGCGGCGGGGCTTGGCCATCCCCAAACGAGGCCCATGGGCTGGCCAAACCCGCTCATGCTCAGCAGGTCGTCTGGTGGGTTTTCCTTGGCTGTCTTCCACACTGGTGCGTGCGTCCTGTGACAGAAGCACTAGTACCACATCGCTGTCTGGTGGATGCTATGGAACCGGGCGTGGGCCGTGCTCTGTACCCTCCGCGGCTTCGTAAGATTTGTTCTTGTGTCTGTTTTGCATTGGGCGTATGAAGGTGCAATTCAACGAAGGTTCCAACTTGCATCAAATTGTAACATCCACATAGCTGGGGGTGCTTGTTTGCACGCGCGGGCGCCCCGATGTTGTCCAACATATGTAATTTTTGTTGGCGGTCCTTGCAACTGGATGAATTCCGGGCAAGTAACTATAATTGTTTGCTGCACCTGATGCACCGAGGGTGGGAAGCGGTCATGGAACCAGAGCACCGCCCTCCCGACGGATTTGCAAACGGCTATTCTAGGTCTCTCTCACCCTTCGCAGCACGAATTGGGGCCATGCCTCTTGTCACTGCCCGTGACCATTTTGGCCTACATCCGTTTTCGCTTCCCTACCCTGCATCCACTCTCGCTCTGCGCCTCGCGTTTTCCAGCCTGTTCATCGCATCCTTGCTTCCAAGCCGCGAACTGTCACCAACAGCATCATCACGATTGGTGAGAATTTCCTCTGGCTGCTGTCCTCGTAAGGCAGCTGATCCTGAACACGTTACCGCTCATTTATCAAAGAGGGGACGCTCACAACCCCCACAGTTAAAGCACTGGATGCTTTCAGTTACGGGCTGGCGGGTAGGGACGGCGGAGCCCATCGTCCACCAATGCACAATCCCAAGCCAATGATGACGACGCTGTCTAATACTGATCCGCCGCTCACACTTATGACGACATACCCGTGGAACCACAACACCACGCCTGGTGCAAAAGAACCCACCTGGAAAAAAATGATGCGTCACACTGCTTTTCTCTTTTTCATGGGCGTCATGCGCCCGCAGGGATTATCATAGTTTCCGTGTGAAGGACGAACATGACCGAAAAACCGTGAACTGACAGGAAATTTGGAAAAAAGGACATGAGGGAAACACAAAGCGCGTGAGCGTCTTCAGTAACCAAATCGACTTGCTGCTGACTTCTCTGTTCCCCGGCCCTCCGGATATAAAATGTCTCAACCGGCAAGGTACACTGAGAAACTCGAGCGCAACCACGAACTGACGAGCAACCAACTGATCCCTCAAGGCTTGTTTCCTGCAGCACCGGCTGAAAAGGCTGCGGTCGAACAAAAAACGATGAAAATGGGCGCCCAGTTTTTCAATGACTGGCCAAAAAGGGCTGGTCTCGAGCTGACTTCATGTGAAAACGCGCAGCTCCTACAGTCGCAGGGTTGAAAAAGCCTGCGAAATAGCGTGCGAATTGGAGCGTCCAAGCCCCACCGCCCTGAGTCCGCAAGGGGTATGCACGAGTTCGCAAAAGCCCGCAAGAGTTCCCAACAATTCGCAAGAAATACGTGATTTTGACCGACTAAACATCCCCTTTTGGAGTTCACAAAAATTTCCATTGCGCTGGATGAAAGCGTGGCATCTGGACACCATGGCCTTCTCGCATTTCGCAGGGCCACACTGTCAGAAACAGAGGGAGTCAGCGGCAAAGCGCGGCAAGGCCGTTTGGGTTGGGAGTAGGTTTCACCCTAGCCCTGAACTGCAAAGATCCAGTCAACCATTGCTCGGGTACATAATAACGCCTTCTGCCCCACATTCGGAGAAACAACATGTTTTTTTTTTGTCGCAGTGTTCGCCTGATCCTTGTATCCTGGTGTCTCAAACGCACGCTTTTATGAGGCCATCTCCCATTTTCTATAAAATTGTTGGGTGTCGTTTTGGGGGCTTTTGTTGTTGGTTTCTGCCTGCCGCTTGGTTCGTATCTCTTGTTACTAGCCTAAGGTGACTTGTGCATCCTCTGCACACATAGCGCCTCGACCCGTGCAAAAATATTTCCCATTTTCTACAAAGTCTGAGTCGGCGCTCTGAGCATCAAGGTTTTCAGGCCACTTGCCGAAACTCATGGAAATTTTTGCGATACTGTGCATGATAGGCAAACCCACCAGGAGTCCCGCGCCATGATCAAGCTAGAATCCTGCAGAACATTACGGTACCTGTCCAGTGCCTCCCCACGCACAGGCGTCCCCAAGTTTCCACCCATCATTCTTGACCGAGTTTGCAGGAACTTGTCCAATCTCAAGGCTCAATTATTGAAACCAGCCTTGGCAATCATTGCCAAGAATTCGACACATTCACGAAGGACAAAAAAATCCAACAACGGATGGAGCCAAACTCGCGCGGCACCTTGTGCAGCACACCCAGTTTTGCAGTTGCCGGCCCCCGTTCAGGTCTGGGCCATCAAACTCTGGGATTTTTTTTGCACGAGTGGAGCTGCCGTACAGTACGTGCAATGGCAAAAGCTCCAAACTGTGCATTATGATGCTTGCAGCACGATGGCAAGACCATGGTTTTGTCCCAGCTTTCAGGTGGCTGTTGCTGTGATTAGCCACCTCATCGGCTGCCAAGACGAAAGCGAATGCACGGTCAAAAGGGACGAAGTTCCGGCCTCCGAAAACAGCGAAGCAGTCAACTCTAAAGTGACAAACGAGAGAGAACGACGCCCTCTACTGGCCTGCTTTCCGTGCAGTTGCCCAGGATTGACAGTGCGAGTTTTTGGGGTTTTGGTTTGTGGGTTTGTGTTTTTTTGCTTCTTGTTTTTGCCTGGTCGGTGGTGTTGGGCCTCATGGTTCGTAACTCTCTCTTTACTAGCTTAAGGTGACTTGTGCATCCTCTGCACACATAGCGTCTCGACCCGTGCCCAAAAAAAAAAAAAAAAAAAAACAGGATTGACAGCGCGATGCCTCCGGCCAGTCATATTGGACCCGTTTACCCTTGTTGTTTTGCACGAGTGGAGACGCCATGTGTGGAGATTGCACAGGTCATCTTACGCGATGCAGCATTGAGTCACTGGCCAAGATGCGAGAACGAGAAAAGAAAAACACAAACACAACACAACACAAACAACCGAAGCAGCCTGGCCGCATGTGGCTCAAGCGGGTCCTGTGGACCAGAAAAGAGTGAGAAAGGTGACACATGGCTGCGAATTTGGAAAGAAGGCTTCTCAGTACTGTTGGACAGTGCAAGCTTTGTTTCTCTTCGTACAAACTTCTTCATTCAGCGCTGCCAAGCGCCCTGGTTTTTGAACGCTTTGCTGGGCATTGCATTTGGAACACGCCGAAGCAGAGCTTACGGCGTTGTGCAGTTTGCTACGAGGCAGGCATCACCACGGTGCTGAGTCAACCTTTTCCTCAGCACAGCCTGTGAAAAGGTAAAACACTCTGTGTGAAGAAGTGGGCAACTAGCTTGCAGTTTGTAGGTCGTTGATGGATGCAACGTGCAATGCCCCAAGCCTACAACAAGGTGAAACCGTCGTTACTCTGTGCAAAAGTCACCAAAAAGACTGTACACTGTGACTCGTCCAGGACCGACACTGAGGTGCCCGCCTGGGATCTGTCTGACTAGCCTGTCCCTTTTGTACAATTCGTCTCGAAGGCGGCAGTGAAGCCCATCCGCCAGAACCGACACTGAGGCGCCAGCCTGCGGCTGGCTCGTTCGTGTAGGCTAAGTGTAAGCTTCTACGCAACTCCTCATCGAAATCGACTGAATTGAATGCTTGACTGTCT